CAATGCTTAATGATCTGAAGTGTAATTGCACTTGGCAGCATTTGTTTTTGAATATGGAGGAAGAGTTAATCTGGAGATTTTTGTGCTGTGTACCTGCTTAGTTTAATGACACAGCAGAGAGTAATTGCCTGTGGAGAGGACACTTGGTGCTTTTCAAATTGTATGAATGTGAAAGAGTTGCGAAATCTATTGTAAGAATTTGGGTCTGAATCCAAAGACCACTGACGTTAATGGAGGTGTATTCCCATTGACTTCACTAAACTTTAGGTTACTGGTTGATCAAGAGCAAGAAGAAGTCTCTAAATACCTAGATTATAATACACCAATGATTAATCAAACGTAATGGAACCATAGATAATAAGCCTCATCCGTTTATAAAGAACAAATTGCACCAGACAAACTCAACTGCTTTGTTTGATCAAGATACAAAATTGGTAGAAGTAGGAAATAAAGCAATTGTAATCGTTCTAGACTGTTGTAAAGCATTTGATACAGTGACCCACAGATTTTTTTTTTGCCTAAAATATTAAATCGCATTGTCTTAGTTAAAAGTACTGTCTCATTGGCTGAAGTACAGTAAACAAAGGTAAAGACAATCAGCAATGTTCCTGTGAAGGTGACTCAGATTGGTACTGGTTCTGGATTTATTTAGCATGTTGACTGAAGATCTGGAAGAAGGGATAAACAGCACATTAATTAAATTTGCACACGAAACCAAATTGGGAGGTGTTGCACACAGTGAGGACAGAGAAATAATGAAAAAGTTATCAATGTGGACAGGAAAAACAATTATAGTCAACCTGGAGAAATGCAGGCTAATGCATTTGGGTGAGGAATCTTTTGAAACTGACAATCAATAGCAGTAATACTTGGAAAAGGAATAATGACAAAAAAGGCCTAAGGTGATAATGGAGAGCAAATTATATACAACATTGAAGTTTAATGTGGTAGTTAAAAAATGCAAGTTTGATCTGCATGGGCTGAGACATCCCACCTGAATTCAGGAGACACAAGTTGCTTTGGCACTGATCAGATCGCCTTTAAAATCCCACATTTTTAAATACCTCAGGATTAGTGAGGATTGGACCTCAAAATATTTTCGATTATATAAGCACCCACAAATGTGAATGCTGACCACCATCACCAAGAGAAGGTGAAAGATCCACCCATCTTTGTCATAGCCTCACCATGATGCTTATACACAGATGCGCTATGACAAAACCAACCAGACAAACACTCCTACTTGTCCTCAGCAGAAGATAGAGAGGGGGGAAAACAACAATCCTTGTTCTTCACCATCCCTCCTGCTTCTTGGGCAGGAGGGGAGAAGAAAAAAATCGGGTCTTTGTGTAGATTGCGAGCATAGTGTTTTTATAAGTGTACAATTCCTTCACACACCATCATGATGATCAAATTACAAATACTGATATGCTATATATAGAAATGTTATCTGAATTCTTGCTTCTGTAAAATAGCTCATGAGAACAGGCTTTCTTGTGTGAGATCAGTTATTCACTGTTTCTGATCAGGTCAGTAATATCACAGGAATACCATAATTACTTCTCTTTTTGACTTGAATTATTGAGTGTCATACAGATACAGATTCTGTCTCTAAATTTGTCAAAATGAAGAAATGAATACAATCTCTGGAGTAACTGATGAGCAACCACAGCTTCCTTAGATATTAAGCAGCTGGACTGAACCTTGTATACCAACGTATTATTGGTATTGGTATTTGAATTATGGTACTGCCTAAGACTCCAGTCAAGACTGGGGCTCCATTGTACGAGGAACTGCTAGAAACACACAGTAGGGAACAGTCCCTGTCCCATCAAGTTTAACAATCTAAATACACAAGACAGATAAAAGATGAGAAGAGAGCAGGAGGTGATTTGCCCAGGGTCACATAACAGGTCAGTAGCAGAGCTAAAAATAGAATCTAGGTCTCCTGATTCGCATTCTAGTGCCCTAATCATTGGTTCATACTGTGTCTCCTAATGCAAAAGGCACAAAATGGACATTCACAATCTAGAACATAAATTCAGTTGTAAACACTTCTTGGAGAACATGTCTCCTAAGACCATACCAAACCTCAATAGCACTGGGGAAAAGTCTAAAGACTCCGTTGTCACTTTAAGAAACCTGAAGCTATGTTCAAATGCTTGATTGCTCATCATCCTTTCCAAAGCAGACCCTTATGATGTGCTATATATTGAGGAAAGGTTTCAAAGATCATTGTCAAACACTTCATTGCACCATACATCCAAAACATGTATTTCTTGGTACACTTTGATAGAAATTAGAGCTGGTGAGAAATTTTTCAACAACATTTCTTTTGATTTCTCAAAACTGAAACTTTTTCAGAAATGTAACTGTATTGATTAAACTTTCCTCAGATCTAGGATGGAATTCCTGGTGAGAGACCCATCCCAGAATAGACAATAGTACTCATCTGTGATGTCAGGGAACCAGGTTCAAATATCTGCTGGGCCTGATTTGAAGTAGAGACTTGAATTGGAGTCTCCAACATCCCAAGTGAGTGGCCTAACCAGTAAACTATTAGGTACTCTAGTTTAAGTGGGTCTCTCTGGTTTTCACAATTTTTTTGAAAGTTCTCAGTTTCATGAGCAAAGCTGTTTAGGGTAATACATGAAGCTATCATTTATATTCCCTACTACGATCCTGTTCTTCCAACACATTAAGAAGCCACCACACCCATCGGTAAATTGTTCCAATTCTTAATTACCATCACTGTAAAAAAAATGCCTTATTTCCAGTATGAATGGCTTCCAGCCATTGGAGCTTGTCCTTGTCTGCTAGATTAAAGATCTCTCTACTATCAGAAATCTTCTCCTTATTCTTATTGTGTTAGATCTCAATCAAGTGTCCTTTTAATTTTCTTTGTTTAAGCTAAATAGACTGAGCTTCTTTAGTCTCTCACTGTAAGGCAGGTTTTCCAGACCTCAAATCATTTTTGTAACTGTATTCTGACCTTTTTCAAATTCGTCAACAGCATTTTTAAATTGTGGACAATGCAAATGGACATAGTATTCTAGTAATGGTTTCACTAATGTCACATACAGTAGTATTAACAGCTCCCTACTCCTAATAAATATTTTACTTCTTATACATCCAAGGATCATATTTGTTCTGTTAGCCACAACATCACACTGTGAGCTCATGTTCAGATGATTATTCACTGTGGTCCCTAAGTTCTTTGTTTAGTCACTGTTTTAAAAAAAAAAACAGTTTTCAAAAGATAAGGACTGTTATGAAGAATTGTTCTCCATATCGTCTGTAGGTAGGACAAGAAGTAATGGGCTTAATCTGCATCAAGGGAAATTTTGGTTAGATGTCAGAAACAACTTTCTAACTAAAAGTCAATGTTTATTTGGTCCAGTGCAGGGGATTGGACTTGATGACATCTCAAGGTCCCTTTCAGCTCTACATTTCTATGTTTCTTTGAAAATACAGCCCCCCACATTCTATATGTGTGACCTACAGTCTTGGCTTCTAGATGTATGATGGTCATTTAGCTGTATGAATGTGTATGTTCAAATTTAAGGGAGCCCATCTTACCATGTGATCCAGAACTCTCTTTGTTTACTCAGGTCAGAGGGAATTATGGGTCTAGATCTCTGAGTGACAGGAGGCAACAAAATGTGCAAAGGCACCACAAACCAAGAATTTATGTCTGAAGATATCGTCTGTTAAACTAGTGGTTGAATATTGACTGTGTGCTAGGAGAAAATATATATGAAAACCTCCTCCCACAGCCAGATCTGTAGCCCACATCTGGTTCACTTATACAGGCACCAAGGAGACAATTGTCAGTTCTGTAAACATTTAGCTAATCAGGACCTATTCTACCACCTTTATGGTGAAGCCCCAATACTATTCCATTGATATCAATGGCATCACTCAATGTGGGTGAGGATGGCAGAAATGAATCCTAGATGAACAAAAGCTTTACTTTGGGGATGTTTAATAAAAATAGATTTATTGTTTGAAGGAAGTTCTAATTTTAACTAGATAGGAACTTGAATCAGTTATTTCTTCAAATTAAAGGCCTGCTCCTGTGGGGGTCTGATGATTCCGTTCTGAGGGAGCCAAGGGCATCAGCAGCTGGAAAGAGGGTGCTCAGCAGCTTGTAAGATGAGGTGCTAAATAAGCATTAGTTGCGTTTAACAATTAAAGTATGTTTACTAGTGTGGACATAATAAAATTAATAGTGAAATTAATAAACAGTGTCTCCCCAGTTACATATATTACTTAGAGCAAGATTTCAGAGTAACAGCCGTGTTAGTCTGTATTCGCAAAAAGAAAAGGAGTACTTGTGGCACCTTAGAAACTAACCAATTTATTTGAGCATAAGCTTTCGTGAACTACAGCTCACTTCATCGGTGAAGTGAGCTGTAGCTCATGAAAGCTTATGCTCAAATAAATTGGTTAGTCTCTAAGGTGCCACAAGTACTCCTTTTCTTTTAGAGCAAGATGGTATATTTTAAAATAATTTTTTACTAATATCAGAAAAAGACTTCAAATTCTTTTATTTTCTGGGAGATCTTCAGAACTAGTACCAATTAGGAGAACATGCACGGATTTATCTTAATGCAGTGTGAATTCTGAAATGCATGTATTCTAATAGCCTGGTGCTCAGCAGAGCAATTACCTGAAAGATCTTGTTATAAACATCAACTGAAATAAACAAGTAACTGAAATCAGCTACTTGGTATCACTGCATAAAATCTACTGACTAACTGTTTAAGGGGCTCACTAATAGGTCTACCAAAAATGAGAAGAAACAAATAGATGTATTTATTTTTTTGTCTCTCAAGGGGACCCCTGAAGTGCCACCTGAATTAACTACACATTTAAGAACAGATTATAAAGTGTGTGGAAAAGCCATACTTAGTTCTTTCCAATAAGAGAGAGATTTGACATAGCCTTTTATGACTCTGCTGCTAATTACATATTTCCAATTTTTTCTCCCCTTTTAGTACCAAGTGCAATGCCTCAGAATGTCTCCTTGGAAGTGGTTAATTCAAGGGTAAGTCTGCCATATGTTCACCATTTCATTGTCAGAGTTCATATATATATTTGGTAATCATGTATATACACACCCTATTTATGTGTAGATTTTATGTTAGAGAAAATGTTCTAAATTCCACACAATGCTTTGTTTCATTCATCTCTTTATCCTTCCTTATTAGTTGAACTGACCGTTCCAAATCCCTGTTTCTCTTTTGTGACAGTCATTTTGGTGGGCATTATATTTCTTTCCTTTCAACAGGCCAAGGTGTCCACCTGAGTTGGTGTAATTAAGACAACAAACTTGTTACAGTAACAATCTAGATGAGAATGTGTATTCATTGCTAATGAATGAGACTTTGTAATCTTGTTGTTGATTCTAACAAACAAAGAGAGGATTGCTCCTTCCAATGCTTTTAATGAGGCAGCATTCTTGTGGCACTTGATTGTGCAGTCTGGAGTTTGACACAGTGCTGACTCTACTGCGTTCAAACGGGTTTCCCTATCACTAGTAAAGGAGTTCAGTTTTCTCTGGAAACCATGAAAAGTTCTGTTCTCCTGAAGAACGTGACTTAGTCTCTCTCCTCAACACATATAATGAAACTCCTTATTTACAAATAGTACTTGCTGTATCACAAAACAAGTTTCACAACAATCCTGTGACTTAGATGTTGTTCACATTTTACAGTTGGGTGAACTGAGGCACAGAGAGGATAGGAGACATGCCCAATAAATCTGTAGCAAAGTGAGGAATAAATCCTAGACTACTTTACAATCGAGTCTTCAGCCTGCTTAAGAATGTGCTTCATTGTTAGCACTTTGTAAGTTATAAGTATTATTGTTATTACACTGTAAATCTCAAAGGTTTTAACAAAGTAGGGTAATTATTAATATTTTACAGACAAGGAAACTATTAAGTGACTTGCAAAGGGCCATTCAACAGAACTCCCTGATTCCCTGTCTTGCTCTGTTCATTCTCATTGTCTCAACAAACAAAAACACATAGTTGACTCTAAAAAAAAATTGAAAATGTAAATAGCTATTTATTATTGTCCCCTTAGCTTTTCAATCTTTCAATTCACCTAATACAAGTACTGTAGTGTAATCTCTTTATCATGAAAGTTGAACTTACAAATGTAGAATTATGTAAAAAAAACCCCTGCATTCAAAAATAAAACAATGTAAAATTTTAGAGCCTGCAAGTCCGCTCAGTCCTACTTCTTGTTCAGCCAATCACTCAGACAAACAAGTTTGTTTACATTTGCAGGCGATAGTGCTGTCCGTTTCTTGTTTACAATGTCACATGAGAGTGAAAACAGGCATTCTCATCACACTGTTATAGCCGGTGTCGCAAGATATTCATGTGCCAGATGCACTACAGATTCATATGTCCCTTCATGCTTCAACCACCATTCTAGGGAACATGCCTCCATGCTGATGATGGGTTCTGCTTGCTAACAATCCAAAGCAGTACGGACCGACGCATATTCTTTTTCATTATCTGAGTCAGATCCCACCAGAAGAAGGTTGATTTTCTTTCTTGGTGGTTTGGGTTCTGTAGTTTCCGCGTTGGAGTGTTGCTCTTTCCAGAATTCTGAAAGCATGCTCCCTACCTTGTCCCTCTCAGATTTTGGAAGGCGCTTCAGATTCTTAAACCTTGGATCAAGTGCTGTAGTCATCTTTAGAAATCTCACATTGGTACCTTCTTTGTGTTTTGTCAAATCTACAGTGAAACTGTTCTTAAAATGAACAACATGTGCTGGGTCATCATCCGAGAATGCTATAACGTAAAATATATGGCAGAATCCATGTAAAATAGAGCAGGGGACATACAATTTTCCCCAAGGAGTTCAGTCACAAATTTAATTAATGCATACCTTTTTTATTTAGCATCATCAGCATGGAAGCATGTACCCTGGAATGGTGGCTGAACCACGAAGGGGCATACAAATGTTTAGCATATCTGACATGTAAATAGCTACAAAAGTGCCATGCAAATGCCTGTTTTCACTCTCTGGTGATGTTGTAAATAAGAAGAGGGCAGCGTTATCTCCTGTAAATGTAAACAAACTTGTTTGTCTTAATGATTGGCTAAACAAGAAGTAGGACTAAGTGGACTTGTAGGCTCTGAAGTTTTACATTGTTTTGTTTTTGAGTGCAGTTATGTAACAAAAAAGATCTACATTTGTAAGTTGCACTTTCATAACAAAGAGATTGCACTACATTACTTGTATGAGGTGAATTGAAGAATACTATTTCTTTCATCATTTTTGCAGTGCAAACATTTATAATAAAACTAATATACACTTTGATTTCAATTACAACACAATATATATGAAAATGGAGAAAAAAATCCAAAATATTTAATAAATGTCAATTGGTATTCTATTGTTTAACGGTATGGTTTAAACGGTAATTAATCACAATTAGTTTTTTTAATCATGAATAATTTATTGAATTAATAGCGTGAGTTAACTGCGATTAATCGACAGTCCTAATAAACATGTATTATCTGCTCCTCTATGATTGTATTAGAAAAGGCAGGTCAAAGAAGTGTGTCTTGCACTTTGAGCAGAGGGGCGTGATGTTTTTGATGGTTCTCAGCTCCTGTTGGAGTTTTCTCCACAATCTGGAAACAGCCTGAACAGATGAGTTTTGTCCTAGTGGTATGAAATTCTACTGTACATGAGGCGCCAGAGCTGGTCAAAAATTTGCCAGCAGAACAGTTTCCCATCAAAAAAATACTGATCAGATAAAATTGAAACATTTAATGGGAACATTGATTTTTGTCTATTTTTATCAGGAAAATTATCAAAATGTTTCATTTTAATAAAATCTAAATGTTTTGCTTTGGTAAGGTTGATTTGGATTTTATTGTTTCAACTTTTATATTATATGAAAATAAGACAGATGTCAAAATAATAAAGTGGAAATGGAACTTTTCCATCTTATTGAATCCAAATGTTTGGATAAGGTCAAAATGAAATATTGGAATATTTGGAATAATTTGTTCCATGAAAAAAATTGACATTTCTCCTTTACTAAGTGGTTGGAGATGATACCCATTTTGAAATCATGGAATTTCCTACAGGACAGAAATTCAGAATTTCAACCATCTCCTAATGGGCGTTCTTTAATCTAATCCTTTCAACGTGGACATGAGATGTTAGCACATATTAGACTGACTTACATTAATTTCCTGAGGGTTAAATTGATCTTCACACAAGAATTAATACCAGCTGATGCCAACCACTTATTAGCTCATAAAAACAATCACTGTACATGCCCCTATAGAAATCGCAATAAGAAGCCATACTAGTTTACGAAGACAAAACAGACCCACAGGCAGTGAATAAAATCACTGATCAGTTTTACAAAACCCAGCTCTTGCTCAGATATTTTAAGGTTGTCAACTGAGAAGTTGTAACTGAGCAACGGAATTAATCCAATGTAGAAAAAATATGGTGGAGGCAAGGGGAGAAAGGTATCTGTAAAACATCTTAAGTAGTGATTTTTTTCATTCAGGATTCAGCCAACAGCACTGTCAGTGCAGCCGAGGTGAACAATTGAAAGGTAATCCCAAATCATAACTGATCACCAAAGGAAACAATCACTTAGAAGACAGAGAGGCAAATGTGCCCTTTGGAAAAACTCTCACCAGGAAATTATGTTCAACATACACGGCTTGCAGTGTTTCTATGTCCTGTGTATGACTATTTCCATCTTGCTAATTTTATGAATATATTTGTTGACAAATAAATTCCTTCATAATGGCATAAATGTCAATTAAATCCAAGAGATCACTAAAGGCTTGTCTGCATGGCCAGTTACTGTGCACCAGTTTGCCATGCAGTAGCTTGCTGTGTAGGCAAGCCTTTAGGGTTTGTCTACACTTCACTCAGAGGTGTGATTGAAGCATGTGTAGACATACCTGAGCTAGCTTTGATCTAGCTAGCTCAATTAAAAATAGCAGTGAAGTTCCAGCACTGGTTGGTCACATGAATTCATACCCAGGGTCCCTGGTGTGCTTGTAAAGCCTGTGCTGCTACCCCTCGTTGCCGTCACTTCACTTACATTGTTGTTATTCGAGCTAGTTAGATCAAAGCTAGCTCAGATTTATGTGTGCTGCAGTCATGCCTCTGATTGCACTGTAGTCATACTTTTTGTTGATGATGTCTCTTCCATTTGATATTTTATATGTTTGGTATTAATTCTGTTAGCATTATATTATATAAATAGCAATGTACTATTTTATTATGCTGTGTGTTTGGGAGGTTCTTTTTCCCTGTTTTATTGGAGCAACATAAATTTTTTTTTGGTAACTCATTGCAATAGGAAGTACATTTAGACCCTGAAGTTGACACTTCAGAGCATTAAAAGAAATGTGCATACATACTTTATCAATTTCAGCAGCCATCAGACATAATGGAAAAGTGTCCATGTGTGAAATCTGTATTTACAGGTGGTCTAATGGAACATGCCCTTCAGACATTTCCTTTTGCACCACTGACACTTAAGCAACAGGTCAATTCAAAAGCTCATTAATAAGGATGAACTTACTGTTTTGGAAACACTTCTGCAATCTCATGTTAATTATGAACTTAAATTTCAGTCATGCTGATCTCCATTTTCCATCTCTTGTTCTCTTGAATGCAAATTTGTATTTTAAAAAAAGTGCTACTCTCCACTTTTTAAACCCTCCTACATATAGTACCCACGGGCAATGCTGTATAGAAATATCTCATTCCAAACCTTTGTGTGCATCTTTGACTTATTCTCAAGACACATGTCACAGAGCAGCTGGTAATCTTTGGTGACCTTATGTAGAGATCATTCAGTGATAAGACATTTAAAACAAAAACAGGAAAATATGCTGTAGGAAATAATGCTACACAGAAATGGGGAGGACTAAGTCCATTTTAAAGTTATTTTTGTTTGTTCCTATAGCAATGATATTTATGTTTCTATTGCTAAAGGATAGAGCCTTTTATCTCTAGGTTTTCTATATCTGGCATAATC